CCCCCCCCCCCCCCCCCCCCCCCCCCCCCCCCCCCCCCCCTTTTTTTCCCCCCCCCCCCCCCCCCCGACATAAAACATCATGATACCTTAGAGGAGGTTGACACATCCTTCTTTTATCTGGAGGACTTAAAAAAAAATACGAGTAGCATTGTATTAACACTCAGTAGTTAATATTATTCCCCTTCTCCTGGCTCAGTTTTGGTTCCAGGACCTTTGAAGTCTGCCAGTGAAGGATGTGGCATCTTTGCGTGTCTGCTGGCTGTGCTGATGCTGGATTCAGGGTGGATCCATCCTCTCAAAAGCTGGAAGTGGTTCTTCTCATTCAGGAGAGCTTGTTTCCTTGCAGTGAGAGAGATTTTCATTGGGTATACTTACCTGGCAAGGATAAACAGGTTCTTGGTCTTCTATTGATAAGCAGAGCATGCCCTACTCATGCTCAAGACTTCTGTCAAGTACTTAAGACTCGCACCCATGTAGTAATAGGTGCATGGGACTGAATTTTTTTTACTTGATGGAAGGAAAGGAAGTTCCCCGCCACTGACCAGAGTTATTCCTCAAAAACTCGATGAATCCATTCCCCCCTTCATTCTTTTTCCTTTGGATTGCAGGTTGAAAAGAACTGAATGCTCGGAGAGCGTGCCCTGGCACATAGATGTTTCCTGGGAGTGGACCCTTGCCTTGCCTCTTTGGTTTCTGTTAAAAAGTCTTAGTGCGGATGGCTTAGAATCACGCAAGGGCTGAGTGGAAATACGTTCCACCTCTTTAGAAAAGCTGTTTGTGGCTAGATTATCTTCTTTTATACCTGCTACTCAAAGCAACGTGTATATATTTGAGATTATAACATTTTGCCAATTAGGAACAAAAAAGGAAGGAATTTATTATTTCCTAATAATGTAGAATTATTAAATCAAATGCTAGAATCCAAGCTCTTTGGATAATAAGGACTGGTTTTTTTAATGGCGTTGTCTTTTTATGATTGAATTTGATACACTCTTTGGTAAATACATTCAAAAATACTGACTGTGTGTAAGGGGAAGTATTTGAAGTGTGTTAAGCCATAGACCATAGTCGTGATCAAGGGTATGGCACTTGAAGTGAGGTGTAACTTGTTTTTTAAGCTAACCAAAGTTACAGTAGATGCTGTTTGGACATTACTTTTTGCAATTACTTAAATGTGTTTCCTTTTTTCCGTATAAATACTAAGCATCCAGAACTGTGGTTTTTAAAGTAAAATATAATGCATAACAATTGTTAAAAATATCCTTCAAAGTGAATTTTTTAAAATGGACATCATGACCATGAAATAGAATACTTTTAACTTGATTTCCAGTCGCTAAAATAAAGCGTCTAAATTGGAATGTATTTCTGATAACATCAGAGATTCATTTTTTAAGGGAATCGTAAAATTTGCTTGTCACTGACATAATGTTTAAATAGTTTATAATGTCTTATAATACTTTATAAACATTACTTTAAAATGTTTGGAGTAGTTGCATTTCATTCTTACTATTCATATAATCTGTACATTGTATATTGAAACACTCAATTTTGACTGATCTTGGTATTCTTTTTCTTAGATTTTCACTATGCTCACTGAGTTTCAAAGATACCAGATATGAAAACAAACAAACAAACAAAAAAGTAGAAAATATAGTAAATTTTTAAAAATCCCTGAGGGAGCTGGAGCTCAGTTCCAGAATGGTATCTTATCGGCACACAGTATTTAACAGCTAGATGTGATTCTTTCAGTCTTTCCTTGTTTTAAATCAGAAGCATCACGTTCGTTTAGTTTCTGATAAGAACTGTTGAAATGTGGCACAATGCGATATACCAGTTTAGCCACGAGGAGGTGAACTAACACAAGCAAATAGTTAAAACACCTCATTAAAGTCGCACTTGGTGGATTCTTTTTTCTTCAGTGCAAGACCGTTGGTCATAACTTATTGCTGCGTTTATCTGATTTATCCTATCGCAGACATGGAGAAAAAGGAGGAGGAAATAGAGCAGCTGAAAATGGATTGTGAACACTTCAGAGCCCGTCTGGAAACCGCCCAGGCAGATTGCATGAGAGAGAAGAAGGTAGATTTGCTGTCAGAATATTGGTATCCGTATGCTTGAGTTTTCATAACAAAAGCAGTAATGATCAGTTTTTCATGTTCATGTCACAAAATACATTGTCAGCCTGAAAAACAGTCTGGGATTTCTATTCATATAGTCAGGAGATGAGTAAATTACTTACCTAAGTTCATAACTGGTAGTTTTTTCCCCTTGATATTTCTAGAGCAAAAGGGTGAATATTATTACTAGACAAAATATAATATGATGCAGTACCAAAAAGTATTCAATGTGTACAAATAAAGGTACCAAGCGACAGTCGGTCTCCCACTTAGGTACATAACTCTTGCATAACTGCATAGATCTCTCTTAACTTCCATACCATGTGAGGTACGGTTGTATGGGGTTGCATTACAGCCTTCTTGGCAGGGTTTGTTTTGATGTACGTAAAGTTAAAAATCAACTGTTAGCATTTTGTTTATATTAACATGTTGAAGTAAAACATTGGGTGTTGGGGAAGATTGTGGTGTAGCTGGTGTCAAAAGGTCCTTTGCAGAACCAGTTCTTTTGAACTTAATATAATTATAACATATTTTCAAAGAGGACACTAGAAGATAATGTAAGCAACGCAATGTACAAAATGAAACGGGCCTCTCTTTTGGCTTGCAGTAAGCTGTGTACCTTTGTTTAGTTTTAATAGTCTTTCTCAGTGCACCTATTGATCCAATTGCCATGTACAGCTGTGAGTCAAAGAACAATTACAGGGTTCCTTTTGCTCTGTCAATATTGTATTTAGTGGTTATGAGAGGGGAGATTCTTAACAATGAAGAGAGAGCAAAAAGTGCGACTTCTCAGACTGTGGGTCTTCTGTGAAGCCATTGGGGTTCAAATAGGATCACAGAGACTAGCGGCTTCATTTCTCAGAGGTGTGAGAATCAGTTGTGATTATTTGCTGCAAAAGTTCATTTCCTTGGAGCTAATAGCTATCTTCAGTAGTCAGCACAAGCTCACTTTGGGGTTCTTGAGTTAGCATCTGCCAGCCTTGGGATTGCACAGAGACAGATGAATCTACAGAAATTATTTCATTTTTGAAAAGGAATAAATTAAGAGTTCAGACATGCAGTTTTAGGGCACATCTGCGTGGACAAGTCTTTCTGGAATGAAGTTTGGTATGAATGTAAGGTATGATGGAATAGTTGTCTGTCTGGATATTACTTACTTCAAAATAAGTATCTTCTGGGATAGCTATTGCAGTTTGGCTATAGGTACATGGCTAGTTTTGCTGTGCATCCAGGTTTTAGTTGTATAAGCACCCAGGATAAAATCTCTGTAAGATTTAATGTTGCTGCTTTAGATGTTAATGAAGTGGATCCCACCCTTTATTCTTGTTAATGTTACAAAATAAATGGCAGGTGGTTTAGGTTTGTGATTTCTTTTGGATGAAAGTTTTACTTAAGGCATGGATAGTTCACTAAGAGTAGTTGTCTGGGTGTTCCTGATCAAAGCTCTTCTCTTCATATCTTTGCTGTTGTGCAGTATACGCTGGTTGTCTAAATGGCTTCTGTTACATGCCACAAAGGTGTATTTGAGTGGATTGTGCTTATGTACATTGTGAAATCCTTTAGCTCTTTGGGATAGAAGAAGACGGTGTATGTATATGTGTGATTTTTGTTCCTGTTAATCACTTTGCATGGTGTTTTTCATTTGGTTGCTGTTCTGCTATAGGCGTCCTTGTGTATAGTTTCTGAATTATTTTCTGCATTTATCTTCTGAAGGAAGAGGAAATGATTCACTGAAACAAACGTAAAATAAATGCATTTTCTAGTTGAGCAGTGTCCTTTCCTTAGGGGATCATAAATCAACGTTTTGCATTCCAAAATTTCTGTGCAGTGCTGTATCACTGATTAGGGAATTGCTGAGATTTCTGAACCTGAGCAAAACGTGAAGTGCACATGCTGTTCTTGGCTAATGTCATCTTTATCTGTCTTTTCATAGTTATGTACTTAAGCACTGCTGTATTCTTGTGCCTTGACCCTTTCCTGAAGATGGTGGTGTTGCATAGCACAGTGATTGCTTCGTGATGTGAACTCTCAGGAGTATTGCTTCCAGCTAGGTTATTTGCTTTTGCAGGCTCCATTTATTTTCCTGGCTCTTGAATGTACTATTTTGTTTTCCTTGCTTCGTATCTTTGTTCTGATATTGCTTTTGATCTATTAAAAATTCTGGCATTTCTTGTGCTGGCTTTGCATCCTCGTTGGGGAATCTAGCTTTGGTATTACAGAGTTTTATGTCTTACTATTCAGTATTAGCATCCAAATGCAAAATGCAAATAAAATGTATTAAAAAATACATTTTCCTAAGACAAGGACAGTGCAGAAAAGAAAGACAGGAACAATATAGGGATTAGACAGGAAGATGCCTGTGGATATTTTGTTGATGCGCATGGTGGCAGGAAAGCTGATAGGTCTGGCAGTGAGTTATGTAAAAGATAAAACTTGGCTAACTTGCTTAAAAATGATGAAAGTATTAAGAAATAAGAGAGTTTTCCTGGGACTTCTAGGGAATCAGCAGCAAGTGTTGGTCTTTTGCATATGTTAAACTACAAGGTGAAAGAGATCCAGAGAGTAAATATGCACAGAAATCTGCTTGATAAATTTAATTTGAACTTTACAAATCCTAGCCAGTGTGTTCCATTAGCAGCATGATAAAGCAATGCAAATCAGGCTGTCAGGTATGATACAGGAGGCTAGGTAGGTAATTGATGACAGAGTACAAGCAGCTTTGTACTGGTTGATATCATGTTACGTAAATTTTCAGATGAGTTTACATTTCTATTCTTTCCGAACCCTCAACACAAAACATTGAGGTGAACCCCAAAAATGGCAGGATACTTACTTATTTTAAAATCTTGATGGGAATACATGGTTAAAAGTTTTGTTCTGTTTCTTGCTTTCAGAATTGACATAGAAAAGATTCCTTCTCATTTCCCCATACTTCATCCTGATAGCTAAACACATAGGGGAGGCTGGGCTGAGGAGGGTGCTTTCTGCAGTGAATCTGAAAATCCCATGCCCACAAAGTGGGCAGAGCAGGATCCTTCTGTTCTTTTGACATCGTGTGATCTGTGATTCTGTCTCTCTCTCTCTCTCTGTCTCTTTTAATTCTTGAGTTAGCATCATTTTTCTTGACTGGCCTTTGTCTTTACCTGCAGCACTGTCTAATACCACCCCGCTCAATGTTAGCAGGGAGCTTCCACTCATCCTGAGAGACCAGACTACGGTATCCCTGCCTTGATCTCACTGTCCACACTAGCTGAGAAGTGTAGCAGCTTCGCTGCCCCTTTGGCAGTTTGTAGGAAGCCACTGAGACCTAGAATCATACCTAATATTATGATAGTCTTCTGGCCAACTGCCCATGTGATTGGAAAAAAGTACTGCCAAATTGAAATTGTGTCCTGACCATGTTGGATTGCTCTGTTCTCTCTTTATGCTTTGTGGCAAGGACCACTGAGCAGCTCACTTAGGTGATGGATGCACAATGGTGCCTGGGCTTTCTTGGTATGAAAGGCCCTCCAAATTTCAAACCTTAGGTGTGTTTTTCCAGGGACTCTGTCTTACTCTGCCACTGCTGATCAGGAATATGCCAACAGAAAAAAGTTGGAAGACACAACAGTATTTATCTTAGATATCCAGTAACTCTACCACGTTGGCTAAGGCAGAAGTCTGTTTTGAAAAACAAAACAACCCTCCCTTCCTATAAGATGTTTCCAGTATCTTCTGTAAGGTGTCTGGAAAGGCTGACCTCTGATGCTGAAATCCCTTCTCTCATGAAGAGACATGTAGTTGTTTGCTTAGGAAGAGTAGACTCTCCTATCAGACTTCTCTAGGTGCCATTCAGTCTCGGTGGGTCACTTGGTCTGACCTTGTGGACAGGCTTCTGGTTACTGTCAGCCTCCACGATGTACTTAATACTTAGCTATAGCTCAAGAGAGAAGGTATGTATCTGCAACTGCTATGAGTTTGCCACCCCCCACCCCCCGCCCTTTCATATATGGCCATGATGTTGTTTCTTGTTCTGTCTCTTAGCTTAGAAACTTGTTTTGGCTGATATGAAGTGCAACCAAAATTTCCTTACACTATTTCAGGAGAAACTAGACCTCCGCCAGCAGCTGAATGAGGCCAAGCAGCAGCTTCTGCAGCAAGCAGAGTATTGCACAGAAATGGGTGCAGCGGTGTGCACATTGTTGTGGGGTGTATCTAGCAATGAGGAAGCTGTTAAAACCATTCTAGGAGGAGTAAGTATGGCCGGTGAATACTTATTGGTGGTAATGCTGTTAGGTCTTTTAAATAAGGACCTTGCTCTGTAACACACTCTAGTATAAGGATATATTTCAGAAACTAATTGGACGGCAAAAATGTTTTCTGAATTGTATATTCTTTGGGATTTATCCATTCTCATTTAAGAAGTGTTGGAACTATAAAATGTTATGAAGCAGGCTGGGAATAAATGCAGTAATTAATTCTTATGTTACCAAACAAGGATTATTCGTTTTCCACCACACACAGTTAAACTGGAAGCAAGGCTACAGCTAGCACAATGTAAATATCTTCACAAGCTAACAGAATAAGAAAATAATTCTTGGGAACATGCAGCAGTTCCCATGCATGTAGAGAGCTTGGAGGAGCTATTTCCATGGAAGGAAGGAAGATCCATCGATTCTCAACTTCTTTAAATCTTTGTGCTGCTTTAATACTTGCATGGCTCTTGGAAATTTAGAGAGTCTAGCTGCTAGTGAATCTTATTAAATCTTCAATGTTAAACGTGGACAGGTAGCTTATTTGAAAAAAAAAAACCAACCAACCAACCAACCAAAAAAACCCAACCAAACCAACAACAGTTAAAGACAATAGTAACATTACAACTAACACAGTTTCACTGCCAAGCGCAGCTGATGGAATTAGGAGGGATCAGAGGAACAGGTCTGATAAAAATATGATTTTCAGTCTTGTCACAGCCAACGTGAGAAGGAATTGTTGTATTTAATCTGAGTGAATGGATGCCACAGTTTCTTCTGGCTTGATTTTTCAGCAGCATGATGAACAGCTGAATGAATAGGATTAGTTCATTATAGTAAGTGGTAAACTAGTGTGTTTGTGAGAAGTTTTCCAGTTTGGGTGCACCAAAATGCAATTATAACTTTATATTGGATATCAGAAAGCTATACAGTAATACCTTTTGGTCATAACTTCTGATGACTCAAGATCCAAGCAGCAGCAGTTACTAAGGAAAAAAAGTCTGTAAAACACTGTATAAAGCAGTTAAAAAAAAAAAGGCAAGCGGGTACTACAGAGACCCCACATAGCAACAAAAACAGTATAAAATTACATTCTGTATTTTCAGAACAGTTTATAACTGTAACAGTCAACAATATTTAGTGACTAGCCATTGTTATTTCACTTGTGAAACAGTGTTGAAATGGTATGTTTCTCACAAACAAAACGCTAGCAGTGATGAAAAAAAAAAAGTGACTATATTTCTACAAGATGAGGGTAAAATTAGTAGAAGTCTTGTTGAAAACAGTCTTAAGTATCAAAATTAAGTACAATGGTAAAACCAAAACTGTTACCTGATGATTTGGATAAGGATAAAAAGCCCAAATGTGGAGATGCAATACTTTTGTTTCTAGGTTTGTTTGAAATGAAAAATACTTTTACTATAGTCGTTCCCAGCAATCATTAGAGCCCATTGAACTGCTGTACTTCTGGTGAAGGTCATAGCAACATTTTTGGGCATAGTTTTCTTGTGATGGTGCACATAACAGTAAGAAATGTGCCTGGGTATGCAACAAGACTACTAGGAAAAACATAAACAGATTGTATGGCATTGCATCAACCACAGATTACAACTGGCAATGAGTCAGGTTATTAAAAGATGATGGAGATTTGTCATACGAAGTTTTTGGTTTGGGTTATTTTTGGACAAGTTGTACAGCTTGTAGCATCTTCCCTCCTCCTCTGAGAAGGTGCTATGAACTACAGAAATGTATAAGAACATCAAGAGTGCTTTGAAACTGTTGCTCATACTTAAGCATGTGGGAATGGTGGCATCAATTCAAAATCATTTCATGCCTTAAGGAGCAACGCTCAAGCTTTTTTCAGTCTTTGCACAGACACAGAAGTAGGTCTTTCATACAGTTCTGTAATGCAGATTGACTGAAATGATGTTTGGCACCAATAGACCGTTTGTGTCCATACGGGTTGGGAAAGTCAAAACTCGAGCAGCAAATTTGAAATGTAACACAAGTAGTTTTCAATGCAGTGGGGGAGAGATGCCTACTGTTTCTGCCCACGCGTAATGTTTCTAGAGAGAACTTGAAGAAACATCCAGAGAAGCAGCATGAGAGAGAGTTTTCAAGGATGCCTACCTGCACATGCCAAAAAAGAAGTAAACTAATTCCCATGAGATTGTTTTGTCTTTCAAAAAACTTCAACCAGATATCCACATGACGAGGCTCTCCCACAGAAACGCAAACTGAAGGTTTGATTTCAGAACAGCATCAAGACTTGCTTCAACTTGAGAAATTTTGGATCCTACAAGGTGGTCTGCTACTCCAGTTATCTGCTATGGTGACAAATGGCTTTATATTTTATGACAGCAATTTTGCACATTAACTGATGTTTTCACACAGAAGTTACTTGGACAGCAAAGGGTTCACTGCACCATCTGAGCTCAAGCACCTTAATGGCTGCTCTCAGAACTGTCCTTATCTCAGTGTCTGTGGGTGAGACATTCTTCAGTCCCATGAAAATACTGTCAAGCTAATAAGAGACTGCGCAGAGTACGTAATGTTTGCTTTTTATAAACCTGATTGGTCTCTGCTGCAGCTCCTCAGACCTCACTGCTAGTTAAGTAACAGCTATTTGGAAAGAAGGTTCAGCAGAGTGGACACCAACGGCACCTCAAGAGACTGACAAATAGAAGATTTTGCTTGTTTTCTGTGCAACATACAAACTACTTGGTTTGCTTAGTACTCTATTATGTGAATACGTGTTTTCATAATAGCTTATACTAGTCTGCTATAGTAGGCTCTCTTCATTTTCTCTCACGCCCTCAACTTCGTGAACTATAGTCACTGCTTATGTTAAAATTGCCATCTTTGAGCTGTGGTGTCCATATAAATATAAAAAGTACATCCAGCACATGCAGAAGTGCATTTTTTTTTTCCTATTCTCTTTCCCCACGATCCCTTCATTCCTGTTATTCTGGGACCACAGTCTCATTTGTGAAGATACTGGTTGTTGGCTGACCCTGCATTTTATGCCCCGTTGCTGGAGTCACCCCACAGGAACTGTACATCTTTGATGTGGTGAATGTGCAGCAGTGGAGGAATAAATAAATGTTACCAGCTTTGTGAAATCAGTATTGTGAAATCAGTAGTTTTGACAAAATACTAAAATTTTCAGTCACTTTGCAAAACGAATAGAAGTTCAGGTGTTTCTTGGGCTGTCCCGTTGGGTTGCTGCTGGGAATGACTAAAAGTTTCAGCTGCCTCATGAAACAACTGGCAAAATTATTAAAGGCACTGGGAAACCTGGCATTATGGGCTCTCTGCTCTGCTATTTTTGTTACGAAAAGCAGCATCCTTTGTGTGAAATAGTGTTCCAGCAATGTTTTACAGATCAGAATTATTTGTAAATGGAAACAGTTCTCTCCGTCCATCTTTGTGGGTTCTGTCTGCACCTTGGACCAGGCTCTTTGCGCTGCCCTGAGCTTTGTACCAGGTGGCTGCTTCCTCAGCTGAGATACCCCAAAATAGAGCAGTATTCCAGCAGAGGAGAGAAGACTGCGTAACATAATTACGGGCTGTGCTCCTGTTTGTACTCTCTGATGTGATGACTGTCTTTCTCATGTGACATTGCTGACTTAAATTCAACCTGTGACCCAGGAGAGACCTCCGTTTCCTTTTCTAAAGAACTTCTACCTAGCCCGTTGTTCTCCATCCTGTATTGTGCAATTAATGAATCCTCTTAGGACCCAGTTGAATTCTGCTTTTTTTTCTGGGTATTTCACTGGTTTTCTTAGGAAATACATGTCAAGTCACTATGTCGGCCTGCTCTCCAGTCTTCAGCTGGATAATGTTTTGACAAAAGCTGCTGTAGTAGCCCAGGTAAATGTGAAACTCCTATTGCAAAGTAAAGAGATAGTATCCTCACTTTTGAAAATAAGCTTTAATTCTGCTGTTTGAGAGATATTATTGTGGGTTTAGGAGATAAATACACAATGGTTTAGTTTTATAAATAAATGTAGCATTGAGTAGTTTCCCATTTTCTTCTGAGGTAATGGTTTCAAATATTAGGGGGTCAAACATGTAATTTGGTGCATACCTGCTATTTTCTGTTGTTTTTTGAAGTAACTGGATGTTTTTGTAATTTTGAAGATTGTCCAGTTTTACTGTATCATCTAATAATCATAGTTGCTGTAGTGTGCATAATCTTTTTTTTCTCCTCCGCGCTTGCAGAGTAAAGCAGTAAAGTTTTTCACAATCACTGCACAGACCATGGAGAGCTTTGTGAAGTCATTAAGTGAAGACATGAAACAGCAGGATTTGGATTCTGATGAAAATCAATTTGTATTAGCTTTGGCAGGGATTGTAACAAGTAAGTTAATGTTATCTCTCAGAACAGCATTCCACGTGTGCTAGCAATTTCTATACTGCCTTATATGTGCTGCAGTAAATACAGCTTTTTCAAAGTCAGGGATTTAGTCAAATGTTGATATCTTGGGTGACTTCCTAGTCTTTTAAAGTTCTGGCAGATTTTGTCATTGACACTTCTGTGAGGCATTGTACTGTCTGTGACACAGTTAAGGATTAGATGGGTAAGAGCCATTGAGTTCTGAAATTCCCTAACGTGTCCGTTCAATCTGGAGTAAAACAAGGACCATTCTACTGCTCTTGTATGCTCACCTTAGTTCGTAAATGTCAAGCAATTTACTTTCTGAATCACCAGTAATGCTAACATCTTCAAGATGTATGAATTGCAGATGATGTGAGTAGATCAGCCCCATCTTAAGGTGCGCGCTCGGCATTTTGAAACTGCTTAAGAATTTTGTTGCTGCCAAATGGAGCCTACCTTCACTGTCCTCAGTCCATAGTGCTAAGAGAAGTAAAAGGTGATGAGGACCTGACTTCCACACTAAAGGTTTCTTTTTAGGGTCAGAAAATAAATAGAAAGCCACAGATCTATCTTAGTATGGCTGCCCTTGGCTTGGAAGGCTGTGAGAATTGGGATTGATGTGTCATCTGCATTTTTGTGGAACTGTGCAGCTGTCAAAATGACACTAATGACATGATGCAATATAGATGAAACAGTGGGTATTTATATGAATAAGTGAATCTTGCATTAACAGGTTTTTTGAATGTGTGATTTTAGGTGTTGTGGTGCCATTAAAGATTATAATTAAAAAAAAGTTACGCATTATGCCACTGTACCAAGGTGGAATCCACTTGTCTCCAATTGCTTCATTGAAGAAACCAAAAAAAAGCATAGCAAAAGTAGAATCTGAACAAAGAAAATGTTTAAAGGCTGGGGGAGGGGTGGGGAGTGTTGGGCTTCTGCCTGAGGAGGAATCAGGATGGTGGAACGAAATCTTGCTTTACTGAAGCTGATACAAATTTTGCCAGTGAATTTGATATTACCAAGATTTTGTCTCTAATATGGGAAAGGAGGTTGCTAAAACTCAAATGTGACAAAGGATACAATCAGTGAATGATGTAGAAGGTACCAGTTTAATCCTCCTAGTTACGTTATAAAGTAGTATTACACTAGAAAGTGGTATTAAAAGAATACTGAGGAGGTGGTCATGAAGTGCCAAGTATTCAGAAGTTAGAAACCACCAGAAGTTCTCAGTGCAGTCTTAACGCAGCCCAGTGTGCACAAACATTGCGATAGCAGTCTTCAATTATATGCTGTGTCCATAGTACCTCTGCTTATTTTGAGGTTAAAAAAGGCATCTTGATGTATGTGAATAGGAGAGAGAATCTGAGGCTGCATGGAAGTGGAAGAACTGTATCATGCAGCAGATCTCCAAACTTGCCCTGCATGGGAGGCCGGGGAACCAGGCTCTGTCACTAGGTACATACACCAGGCCTCACGCGTTTGGAGGAGGCTTGGCCAGTTGCACAGTACAAAGAAGCTCGGGTTGCTGGAAGATACCTCTTGCACATAAGGATGCCCTAAAGTATGGGGCAAGCATAAGGGAAAATGCTAAAGGAAAGTCTGCTTTGGAGCAGTAGTCTTTGGAAATATTTTTGCCTTTTGGTTTCTGCATGAATAATGCAGCGCTTGCAGAGAGGTAGGAAAAGAGCTTTTGAGTAGATGTCCACGAGAGTTTTGTTTGTGTAATATGCCAGATATATTGGATTAAGCGATTGTAAAACAATCTGCAATCCCGTTTCTTTAGAGCGGGACTTAAAATGGTCAACTTTGCTTCAGTCCCACAATATTTGCGGATGAATCCAACCTTTTGTTTCATAATTCCCCATGTTACTATTAGGATACTGGCCACTCTGAAGAAATATTTTAATTACCAAAGTAGAATTATGAAGGATTTTGACCAGTATAATTTGCTGCTTCAGTATTTGCTATGTAGACGAATATAGTTTGACATTTATATAGATGCCATAGTTCATTCTTCACAGCTGACCTATCTTTTTAGTGGTCCTGATAATTAGCATAAACTTTTGTTTGAAACATGATTTTTATGGTGATGTTTTGTGTTCTCTCACAGATGTGGCTGCGCTGGCATGTGGCCGTGAGTTCTTGGTTAGTTCAAGTCGTGAATTACTGGACACGATGATGCACCTCCTGGGAGACATGAAGCCGGGACTCTGTACCAAATTTAAAGTGTATGATGACTTTTTTTTTTCCCTTTCAAATGAAGTGCATTGTCTTGCAGGGTAGGTCACAGTAATGGCAGTAGTTTTCCTGCTCTCCCATTACTTCCTTTCCTGGAGAGGAAAGATAATTTTTGGAAACGTTTCACAGTAGCATTCCTTGCAGATATACCAGGCTTGGCTACAAGGCTAGCTTCATCCAGGTTTTGTGTCTCTTCAGAAGTCTCTCGGGCACCATATTATTGTAGAGATGAGCAGAGATGCACTCCTCTACCTTAGGAGGGGCTTGTGAGTTCAGGGTCAGATAAGGAAGGTGTGAGGTCAAGCTTTAAAACAGAGAGAATGTGGGAAATGTGGACTAATATTTATTCCCTTCCAATATGAAGACTGTAGAATGCTACATCTCCTTAGTGAAGAAAGTGAGTTATGTATCTGCTAAGAGCAAAAATTAAATTTGTTTATGCTACTTAGTAGCCAGAAGCACCATGCACTTACGTTTGTAAAAGGTAATGCCTGTAAAGGGACCTTGTGGTACAGCGTTGTAAAGAACAGGCCATGTTACACAATTCAGATGCTGGTAAAGTTGTATTTCCAGCTGATGGAGAGACTGACTAAACTATTGTCTTTGCCTTTTTCTCAGAGCTGTTACAAACTGAGGATATGTGGCCTTGACCAAGCAAATTACTGTGGCTTAATGAGTACTTGCTCATCTGCTAAGCTATGGGCACTTGGCCTGTACACCCAGTTAATTTGTTCATGAAGATGACTTAAGCCTGCGTGGTGGTTTTTTTTTCATAAATGGGAGACACCCCCACACACCCCCACACACCCCCACCCACACCCACACCCACACACACCCCTCATACCCAAGCCAGCTGTCATAGCTCAGCTGACAAACAGCAACCCTATCACCCACAGTAACTTGACTGTGTCCATGCACACATTTAGGCAGATTGTATGTGATAGGCATGAAATCAGGCTCAGTCTTAACTTTGGATAGGTTTTTATCTTGCCTAATCTCAGCTATCAGAAGGTTAGATGTCAAGTATCTGCTAACTGTCTGGGCTCCTTCCCACAGTCAGTGGAAGGAGATGGTGCTGTCAGATGATCGCTTGCTCAGCCCATGTTCGGGGGAACGAGTTGCCCTCTGAAGGTGCTTACTTTTCTCCATTGGGTAGCGAGGGGGAAGCTGAATAGCCTGTGCTGTAGATAGTGGTTAGATACTTTGATGTCGGTCATGTACCATGTTTCCCAAATGTTGGGCTTGAAGGTCAGCACTCAGAACAGGGTAGTTAACTCTTGCAACAGTGGAATGTTTTTTGTAAAGCCCCAACTAAAAGATTTGCATGAGAATGTCAACTTAAGAAAGAAAAGGTACTTCGTGCCTTCATGTATGTAACAAAAATACCCTCAAAAAACAAAAAAACATGAAAAGAGGACCTATACTGTTTCAAAATCTGTACAGAAAAAAAAAAAATAACAGAGGGGACTTTATTTTGAGAGGAGGAGGGCAAGGAAAGTGTTCCTAAACAAACACACACTCTGAATTTCAAGTGAATGTGTGTCTATGGGTCCAGATAAATTATTTTTTGTCATTTCAGATTGTATTAATGTAATTGGACAATGTAATTGGATTTGAGGGCCTTCCTTTTGAATTGATGTTTTGAGTGTTTTTTTAATTATATTTCAAAATCTGCCTGTTTTGCAGAGGAATTACACATGGTGATATAAACTTGGCTGCCATACAGCAATACTGATAAAATATACATAAAACAATCCCATGAAGTGGCTAGAAACTCAACAGGGGCCAGCCTCTTAGGCTAACAAATTGAGTGAAGCTTAAAAAAGAGGTTGCACAAGGTATTTGATAAGTGAGAAATGTTAAGCATGTGTTACAGTAGCTTGAATTCAGTGCAGTGATAATGTTTTCTGATGTTCCACAGAACCAACATTTTTTTTTTTCTTACTCTGAACTCTGAACTTGCCATTTGATAAAAAAATTGCTGTATTATGACATTAAAGCAAATGCCAGAAAGGAGATTTCTTCATGGCCTTGTCATGGAACGAGGGATCCTAATTTGCTCAAATGTTTTAGTGCAAAATCTTTCCCCTGTGTTTGTCTTTCATGTCCGTGGTCAGGTTCCTTTTTGTCTATGAGCTCCCTACGTGTCTTGTCACTGTTCAGTTTTTAAAACCCATTACTAACACGAGATCTCTTCTCTGTCCTTTTTGGGGATTTTGCACTCTCCCAGCCCAGCAAAGAAGGGTTTTGGGCGTTGGGTGGTTTGTTTGTTTCTAAATTGTTCTCTGCATGTAAGGTTTTTTAGCTGCTTGTTAATCTTAAATGATCAACATTTTCATAAGCAGATGTGTCAGAAGAACTCCCTTTTCTCTCTACCATAAAATGAAAGACAATTGTGAGATAAGGATATGATAGTTAACATAAATTGTAGTGAAATTTCAAAGTTATGTGTAGACAAACTCTGGAGTCATCATAAATAATGTTTACACACACACATATACACATATACAGACAGACACATTTTTAAAACTATACCTCATGAATAAAAATGTCTGTACATTATTTTGAAAATGCAATGTGTTTTTCTCAAAACATCACCATGGTATTACATGGAAGGACATCATCAACTTAAAATTTAATCTGTTAAAGGAAAAAATTGGCTTATTATTTTCAAGGATATGTTTGTCCTTTGCTCAGTTTTGAGGTTTTACAATTCCTTTCTAGCTTTTGTTTTCAAAAATTATTTTTCTTTACTGTCTGACAAATAAGGGGAAACTGTGAGTCTAATTCGATGCACAGCAGTATCAAACAAAGTAAGCTGATAAAAAGAGGAGTTCTCTTTCCTCTTCTAGTTCTAGCAATCCTGTGTTTTACTTGTACCAGTATATAAATAAAAAATTTACAGGGAAAAGCTGTCATTTATTCCAGCACTGCTACAATATCCATTGTAGTCCATGAGTATATAATAAATATATTCAAGGCATCTACCTGAGTGCTGGGACTGAAATCTCATGAGTATCTTTGTCTTTCTGAAATAGCAGTGGTGTGAAAGACTTTAGGTTTTCTTTTCATTGGTATAGGGTTTGTTCAACGTTTGTAATTGTTAGGTAGTCAATAAACATTTACACAGTTGTTCATAGCTATAATTAAATTGTTAGGAATATTCAGCTTTGCTTAGGTAGCAGTTGAAAGTAGGCAGTAAAAATATGTACTTTAGTACATTTTATGTACTAATCCCATGTATTAAGCAGACGAGAAGGGGCTTTAGCTGTGCTTTTAGTTGTAGATTTTAAAGAAAGCATTGACAGATACAGTAGTACAAGATGTTAATTAAATTTGGTTTGCCTAAATAGGAAGACTATGAAGTGCATAATTAAAAAGCCCTCCACATTAAAAAAAGACCCAGAAAGTATTGTTTATTCAGTAATTAGGTGTGTCAGGTTTGCTTCAATAAGCACTTTTGCAATAGTTATCGCAAAAAATACTTACTAGAATGTGCAAGTACTAGAGGTGAAGGTGGTATGAAGGGCCTGGAAATGCTTCTCTGTTGTGCTCAGGTGAGTGTGTTTAATTAGTAATAATATACTACTACATTGGCTTGTGGGGTGGGCTGTGTTTTCTTCTGACACTCCAAAACCACAGCACTTCCCTGGATCACCACCACCAGTCCCTTTTGTCTGCACAAAGCAAACAAGTGAAATAAAAATACAAACACAGCAGTATCTTTTTTACGTCACTTTATTTCTAACTGCAAATGTCAAACAGATTAAGGATGAAAGACATTGTCAAGAAATGCTAACACTTTCCATTGTAAGATACTGTTTTATTGATCATTTTCATTCTGGCTGATCATAAGTAATTATGGCTGTGCTTCTTTGTCAGGGCTTGGGTTCTGGGAGCCAAGTAAGAGCTGCAGAGGCTGTAGGAGAAGCAGCGTACGGGCTTTACATGCTGCAATTTCAATTCCACAGCACCCCTCGCTGCTTGTCAGTGGCCACTGGTGCAGCAGATTTGATAATCTACTGTTTCTTCTTCCTGCTGTTTAAGAGCCTAGGTGATGGAACTCACAGTGGTGCAGCACATAAGTTATGCCTCTTACAACTCAGTTTAGCCTGCAATAGGTTACTTTCTTTCCTGCTTTCTGAAGGTGTGCACAGAGAGTGTCCGAAAGTCCGCTGGTGGCAGAGTAGCTTAAGCCATGAGAACTCGTTTGAGGATGGGATGTAAGGTGTGAAGTCCATTCGGAGTAACATTATTTCCCTTTAGATTGGAAATGCTGGCAGTGCAGTGACATGCGGGTTTATCGCAGTCGTGAAAGACAGCAGCAGCCAAGCTGGCCCCAGAACAGAAGAGAACATTCCAGCCCATTCCTGTGTCTCTGTAATTGTTTTGTATGCAACCCGGCACCCCGCTGTGAGTGGGTATGGTGATGTGCTCCATAAATGTTATAGGAGCCCTGCTCATTCATCTTCCTTTTTCATTGTCCAGAAGATTGACTTGCGTGTTATCATCGTTGAAAAGAAATAAAATAAAAAGTAATAGCATCCATCGTAGCACATCATAAAGCGCGCTAATGCCCTGTCCCCCCAGCTGCTCCACAGTTGTAAAGATGATCTACATAAAAGGCAGGACAGGAGAACATCGCTAGAAGGGTGAAAGAATTTGTAAGACAACTTCTGACTCCAGAGTACGGCTCTTTTTTCAGGAACATCAGGGGCCTCTTGGCTCGGAGTTCATAGTACAGCAGTGATCTGATTCTGAAAGAGGCTGAGCATTAGTTTGTCTTGTTAATGTCAGTGGGGATTTTTTTTCTGGATGCTTTCTGCTTTTGAGTATCGGGTCCCATTCCTACTTTGTTAGAAGTTAGAGGGAAATTGAAATAATTTGCATTAAGCCCACTGAGATTCTGCTTAGCTGAAAAAGAAGGTTTTATCCACCAAAACTGTAAAAAACTTGTATCAGCAATGTGGAAGACAGCGTAACAACATCAACATCAAATGTTTGAAAGCAAAACTTAGTTCAGCGGAAACTGCAGGAGAAGATTTAGTCCCAACTAAATGCTCTGCATTGAGTATTAGCAGTTGTTCTGGATACCTTTGGAAAAGAGACTCATTTTGAGCCCCAAGTTACCATACTTGTCTGACAGTTGAAAGCAGCTAAAAGTAAATTTTGACCCAGGCGCTTTATCTGCCTAAAGAGACAAAGCTGCCATTTCTGCGTGCGGCTTGCTGTACCTTACAACATTACCTCAGCTCTGTCGTGGCTGGGGCTGAGGGTGTACCAGTAGCCAAGCCCCCTTTCCCTGACGGGTTTCAGATTTTGCAAGTTGCTGATCATACTGAAGCTTTTCATGTTTGCAGTAACCGGTGTGAGCCGCCGTGGGAGAAGCTGGTGGGATCGGCAGGCTAGAGCAGTCCTTTTAAAATGCAGAGCCTTGTCCAGCCTACCTGGTTTTCTCTCTGGAGAATAGTTGAGACTTTGGTTTAATTTATAACCTGTGATGTATGCAGCCCCAAAATGACTAATGAACTTCCTATTTTAGGAGGCTGATAAATTAGGAAATCCTGGGTTTGGAAGCTTTTGAAAATGTGGCTGAAATGAACATATACCTACTATGTGTATTTTTATTTTGTTGTTTACACACTGATGTGCAAGGGACAGTCTTGGTTTCGGTTTGTCAGAGATGTCATCTTAGGTATTTTTTTTTTCAATGCTCAATTGAGGAAACGTTTACTAGCTGCCAGGCTGTAGATGTTCTCTGTTACCTGGAAGTCAGGATATAGGTTCTGTCCTCCTTCAACATCAATGACCATAATAAAAGACCAAACGAAATCACCTTCTGGGGAGGAGAGGAAAAAAAAAAAAAAAAAAAAAAAAAAAAAAAAAAAAAAAGAGGCAGCCGTGACAAGGTTGGCTTTTTTGGAACCACAGCGAGGGGCCAACTAAAGGTCCTAGCAGCTTTTCTGCCAAAGCTTAAAAA